TTTTTAAATAAAAATTAATCATTTTGTCTAATTAACAAATTTTGTTTTTTAAGATAATATATTTTTTAATTATAAATTAATATACAAAAAAAATACTATAATCACTTAATGTTATTAAAGGTAAAAAAACAAAACTAAAATTTATTAGATAATTATTAATTAAAAAATGTGACCACAAATTAATAAATTAAAATGGATAAATTTGTCAATAAAATTAAAAAATTCTAATCCGCTAGCGGTTTGATACAAAAAGTTACATAAACTAGCTTTTTCAATCCGCTAACGATTTGGACCCTAACCGCTATCCGTTAGTCTCAAACCGCTAAATAAAAATTTTACGAAACACTTTAGTTGTAGCGGTTTCGAAATATATAAATTTACCAAACATCTATATTTAGCGATTTAGGTAAAACTGTTAACCGCTACCCCGAAACCGCTATACCAAACGGGGCCTTAGTGCCAGTGTCTCACCAATGTTCATAGCTGGTGGAACTGCATATTGAAACAGTAGGTAAACAGGAGTAATGAATTTGATTCCACTATCCCAAAATGGTTTGCAGCTTTAACAATGCCAACACTAGTGCAGGCAGGATGATGAACTTGATTGCTGCAATGCCTGCTATGATTGGTGCACCTACTCCATATCTCCTGAGACCCTTGAGAAGGTTTGCACCAATAATCAAGGTTATACAAGGAATTGCTGCATTTCTGTAAACGAAAAATGCTGATGGAAAGTAAATACCGGGCATAGTATCCAGGACAGAGTTCAGAAAATCATGTTTTGACAAATACCCTATCAGAGCTGCAGAGCTGTAAATGGTCCGGAGAGGAGCACTGTCACCAATCAGGAGCTTCCGAATTGGAGATACCAATCCGATAGTGAACCCAACAATCTATACAGCAAGAGAAGCAGGTCCATGTAAATATGAAGTACAAATCTGTAGACAATACCTCATCATACACTTTGCTCCCTATACCATCTATTATTTCAAAGCAAAGTTATCATTATTGCTGAATAAAACAAGTTGAAAGCACTACAAGCATACCGCTGCAATTGTCGAAGGGGCCAACAACATTTTCAGTTTGATATGGCTTGTTAAATTGTTAACATGCTACTTTATCTTTTCCAGAAAGACCAAAAGTTTACCCTGTGAAAACAATTCTCGGTCATCATATATGCTCAAAAAACCGGGTTCCTTTTCCACATGTACTGAATAGAAGCAAGATATTAGCTCAACAGAGAATTGCAGATATGAATGGAAGATTGATAAATTAGTAGCCCTCGTAGTTTTCTTAGTAGTTAGACCATTAAACCAAAAATACTATGGGATTTTTAATTTCTTTTGGAAACATTATCTAATGAGTTTCATCTGACCTTCTCTTTCCCATCAATTGATTGAGGGAGTGATTCAATTTGATCTGAAAGCCCCTCTGTGCCCTCTAAACTCTTTGAAGAAAGTAAGGCTTCTTAGAACTCTGTAAAAAGTCTTCGGATTCTCCACCGGAAATTGTTACGATTACTGGGTCAGGGTGTTCGTCTCTGTCAATTCCATTACCTTCACCTTTCTTCGCATACATCCACATCATAATATACACATAAGACCAAATATAAAGCGCTAGTATCTGCAATCTCAAAGCAGGAAATAAGAGAGTAGATCAGATACCGCCGACTTCGGTACCATTGAGCACGAAATGACTTCCCTTATTCAGCCTTCATTTGTTTTCTAAAGTTTATGTAGCAGAAGTTATACAACATACACCGCAAGAGAAAAGGAGGCATAAGCCTCTGCATTTGTAGAGCAGGTGGAAGAATCTCCAAATGGACTATTTGACTCCACAGAGTTCCGGACGAACGACCAGGAGCAGGTTTCCTATATTCCCTGTGGGCATAAACACAAACTAATCAATTTATAACACGAAGGAAAATGGTATACTTTAGGCACCTCAGTCTTCAATTTGGATAAGACAATAAATTTCTATCTACCTGCAGAACAGCCACCAATGACAAGACCTTGCAGATGTGGAGGAGTTTTTGTGATTTTTACGAGAATCCATCCAAGCAAAGAACCCAATATTAGTGTGAGAAGGATGTTCACTGGCATAAACCACCTACACATGTACAACATTACACTTACATAACTTACATTCTCACCATCAAATGGAAATAATACCCTTTACACAAGAACTTACAAGCTTCTCAAACTTTCCATAGTAACCGCATCGGCTAGGTCGCTGAATATGAGTGCAGGACTGAACAAATAAAATACCAACTGCTCCAAAAGCAAAATTACAAATGACAGACAACGAAAAAACTGTTTTAAGTACTCAGTGGTGCTGAAAGCAGAATTACAAGAAAAGTATCATGGAGGACTTACATTATTAAGATGAGACCTTGCATCTGGCCCCAGAAGATTAACACGATCCATTGCAAGAAACAGACCAACAGCAGTAACAAGAAGAACTTTTAGAACTGGCATCAATGCCAATATGAACAGATCCAGGAAATCCATTGCTTGCAGGCAATCTCCTACTGCGAAGTTTATGGCCTTCTCGTAGGTAGTGTCTCAATGAAACAGGATGCACACAACTTCAAGTCCTCAACTCATGCAAGCACATTCAAATTTTACATGCTTCTTGTGGAACTAGAAGGTGCCCTTTTCATACTTCCTGTCAATAGATGGATTCCAGGAACTTGACAATATCAATTTCAAGGAGACGAGACTTTGTTTTTTCTACTCCGCGCTACAATACTAGTCAGTGCAACAACCACAGCAGATTGACATTCTCCCCGTATACTCCTCATTCTCCTTCAGCTACCATTCCTCCCCACCTACTTTAACCTTTATCTTTGCACAAAAAATAAATCGGCAGATAAACCCAGATAAGTCTGAACTTATAACTAATTTAGTCTAACAATGTTTTTGTCGACCACATGTAGCTTTCAAGGTTATTGAAACTAGACTAGAACCAAAAATTAAAAAAACAAAACCAAAAATTAACTTCAGTTGTCTAGAAGATTTGCCCATATTAATTATAACCCAGTGGGGTTGGCTGATAAAAAATAAAAAATAGGGTTGCTCCACTCATTAAGAGTTATTTGAATCATATTAAAAATATAAATTTAAATCCTTTCAATGTTATTTAGATACAAATAACTTTAATAAATCACATCCACGTGTTCTTTAAGGTGGAGTTTGAAAAAGTTTAGTCTTTATTAAAATATGTGAAATTTGAGATTTTAAAGTGGAGTATGTAAATTATAATTTGAGACATTATTAGAGCCTTATCCAATATTTACTGGGTAATTTACAAGTATTTATAAGATTAGTTTAGTCAAAAATTAAAAATCCATATAATTAAAAAAAAAAAAATTGCCCTTATTGCTTGAGCTTCTCCACCTAATTAACATGGAGCACGATCACTTGGCTCGGTTAAAGTAAGAGGCTTTCCTTACACTGGTAGCTGTAGAGTCTGGAAGGCAATATCCTGTTCTTTAAGACAGGTAGATTTAGTTTATGCATCAAACACGAGACAAAACATCGAATAAGAACAAGAAAAAAACTAATCATGCGTTGGCGCAAGTCAATCAGCAAATTTTTGGGCCGCAAATTACTGTGTGGTTTTTGTTTTCACAATGAGATTTTTATTTTCAAAATACAATAGATATATACCCTATAAAATTATATATTTTATTATATACTAAATAAAATTTTCAATGTATAACAAAAGTTGTTATTAACAATATAAATAATCAAAACCGTCAACGTGTAATGAAGTATATAATTTTATAGGGTACATCTACTATTTTTCACGTGAACATATAGATTGTACAACTTGTACTAATATCATTTAGGATACAAACTCTATAGTGTGTGGAAATGGGTAAAAACCAATATTTAGTCTTTTACCTTACAAAATTAGTAGGTTTTAGTCATTTACCTTATAATATGATACTTTTAGCCTTTTACCTTATCAATTAGTAAGTTTTAACCACCCACCTTACAAAGTCGGTAAGTTTTAACCCTTCACCTTATATTATGACATTTTTAGCCTCTCACCTATACAAATTGAAAAAAATAACTCTCACATAATATTAAGTTATAACATTCTGTTGATTCTATTAACTGACTGTTAATATCTGTTAGCATTTCGTTATAAAAAAACGTGAAATTTAAATTCAATTTTATTTATTAGTTCCATTAACGGAATGCTAACAGATACTAATAGTCAACTAACAGAACTAACAGTCAGTTAACAGAACTGACAGTTAGCTAATAGAACTGACAATCAACTAACAGAATTAACAGAATATTATAACCTGATATTAAGTGAGAGTTATTTTCTTCAATTCGTATAAATAAAAGGTTAAAAGTGTCATAATATAAGGTGAGAGGTTAAAACTTACTAATTTTATAAGGTGAGGGGTTAAAACTTACTAATTTTATAAAGTAAAGAGTTAAAAGTATCATATTATAAAGTTAGGAACTAAAACCTATTAATTTTGTAAGATGAGGGGTTAAAAAATTGGTTTTAGCCGTGGAAATGTGTAGACCGTAGAGTATATTAATATTTATTTGTTGGATTTCAACTGAGGGATTAGAGGCGGATTTTTATTTTTCTTGGTTTGCCTGACGTTTACACGCCAATAAAGAGAGTTATGAATTAAATCTGATTTTCATATTCATTCACACGCATATTTAGCTAAATTAATCTTTTATATGTCATCTAATGTCTGTCCCTGTTGCTATTGATTTAATCTTAATGATTTTAATTAGGCCTCTCGATTAATGTTTAGTGGGCGACAAGCTATGAAAAGAAAATCTGTCATTTCTGCTCACGTTGGCTTTTTAACTCCTTTTTGCCCTGCTGGATTTTTTTTTTTTTTTTCATTTAGTGGCCAAAGTATCCCTATACGCTTTGAAATTAATATTTTCTAATTTAGTTAAAGGTAGGTAATCATCGTTAGAATTAAATAATTTATGAAAAATTATTTTTTTATTAATCTTATTTCACATGATCTGATAATATGCACTAGCACGAGCTAATATGAAATGTTTTCATGGCTGTTTGATCGATTTTATGGTAGGTAGTAACCACGACAGCAAAGCTATAGACCACTTTTTGAAGATGAAGATGCAGCCAGCTTGAAGCATGCTGCAAGGCATCGTTGTTGCTAAACTGAAGTCAATTAGTTCGGTTGTTTTATGTAATGTAGTCTTCTTTAGTTATCCACATGAATTTTATTCTTTTGTTATGTTTTGACTTGGTGTAAGGATCTCTGTATACACATATCCGACTTTTACCTTTTCAACTCTTAGGTCTGTTTTGAGTTTCCATGAAATAAGCAAGTGTTCTGCTCTTCATTTCTTATTTGGATTTTTCTGATACGTGCTTTTAGTGTATAGTTAAAGGTATTTTTTTATAATAAATTTATATAAAAAAATATAAAAGTAAATATTAATTTTAGAATTAATGTCACATGAATAAATTTAATTAGACAGTTGATAAATTAAATGTTATTTTTTATTTTTTCAAGGCTTTCAAAAGACACAAATTAAAAATCCCTTTTTTTTTTCCATTGAATTTACATACTATCAGAGCATTTCTGAACTTGAATTAATGACTGTTAGGGAGTGATGCGAGAGAACCCACGAAATACTTGAGTTTTTCCATTAATTAAGTCCAACACTAAGTTTTACAGCAAGGTCTCCTAGTTTTTCTTTATTTAGAGGCTAAATTATTAATCATTAAATCTTAATTTTTTGTCACAAATTATTATTAATGATAAAATTTATATCATTAGTAAAAACTTTGTCACTAATGCTCATTAATGACAAATTAAGCACCTGTCACAGAAAATAATTTTATAGTGATAAGAAAAATTGACATCATTAACAAGTTATTTATAATAATTTTATTTATTACAAAAAAATATTTTTTGTTATAATTATTTTCATCACAAATGTTACAATTGAGTAACAAAAAAATAGTCACAAATGTAATTGTGATGAAAAATTTAGTCATTAATTATTAAAATTGATATTAAATAAAAAAATATTTATATAATTACAACACAAATATTGTAACAAAAATTTTGTCATAAAAA